TATTTCTGGACACTGTGTGACACAGAGTGTTGGACTGGATGGGCTGTTGGCCTGATCCAACATTGGCTTCTCTTATGAGGCAGACAAAAACCAACACAAACTTGCACAAAGGAAATGGAAGCAGACAATTAGGGATACAAATTTTTTTTTTGAGAAACCTATCGCTAAAAGCATAAAGGCCAACAATCAGAATCCCTTAAACACATTAGGAGCAGGAAACTGGATAAGAAGGCAGTTGCACCATGGGATGACAGTGGAATTAAAGGAAGTGAAAGCAATTGCTGAGAAGCGAAATGAATTCTTCTCATCTCTCTTCACTGCTGACAATATAAGGCAAATGCCTGTTCTTGGATTGATGTTTTCGGAAGGGCAGGATGTGGAGCTTAGGCAAATAGTGGTGACAAGGGAGGAAGTTCTAGAACTTATAAATTGCAAACTAATAAGTTACCAGGACCAGATGGTATCCATCCTAGAGTTCTTAAAGAACTCAGGTGTGAAATTGCTTATAACTCTTATAACTATGATACGCAACCTGTCCTTAAGATCAGCCTCTGTACTGGAGGACTGGAAAATAAGAGGCCAGTTAGCTTAACGTCTGTTCCAGGTAAACAAAGTTTGAGTCCAGTGGCACCTTTAAGGCAAACAAAGTTTTATTCAAGGTATAAGCTTTTGTTTGCAAGTATACTTCTTCAGATACATGAAATGGAAGTTACCAGTCTATACATATAGGTAGGCAGCATATTAGCATACAGCATAATGAAGATATTTAACAGATGAAGGACCAAACAGGAATAACAAGCTTAGGTTACCACTTTTTTGGGTTTAATTCTGGGGGGAAACAGTGAAGGAAATAAATATGTCCAAGTTGGAGATTGATGAGCAGATGTATCCTTAACTGTGGAATCTGCTCATCAATCTCCAATTTTTGACATATTTATTTCCTTTACTATGTTTCCCCCCAGAATTAAACCCCAAAAAAACGGTAACCTAAGCTTATTATTCCTGTTTGGTCCTTGCATCTTTTAAATATCTTCATTGTGCTGTATGCTAATTTGCTGCCTATTTCATTGTATGAAGTGTGCATGCACATGAAAGCTTATATCTTGAATAAAACTTTGTGGGTCTTAAAGGTGCCACTGGACTCAAATTTTGTTCTGCTGCTTCAATCCAACACAGCTACCCACGTGATTCTATGTTACAGGTAAACTGATGGAAAGCATTATAAAAGGTAAAATTGTCAAACATATTGGATTTCAGTCATACTAGATTTCAGTAAAGCTTTTGACAGCATTCCCCACAACGTTCTGATCGGTAAACTAAAGGACTGTGGATTGGGACACTAGGATAGTTAGGTGGCCAGGGAACTGGCTGGAGAACCACACTCAGAGTGTACTCGCCGGTGGCATTTCATCTGAAGGGAGGGAGGTGTCCAGTGGGATGCCTGACAGGGCTCGGTTCTGGGCCCGGTACTTTTCAGTATTTTTATAAATGATCTGGATGCGGGTGTGGTGGAGCTACTCATTAAATTTGCAGATGACACCAAATCGGGAGGAGCAGAGAACACACCAGAAGATACAGACAGAATTTCAATGAGATCTGAACACGTTGGAAAAGTGGGTGGATGTGAACAAGATTCAATTTATAAGTGCCGAGTTCTACATCTGGGTAACAAAAATGAGGAACACCCATACTGGATGGGGGATACACTTCTGGGCAGCAGTGTGTGTGAACAAGATCTTGGGGTAAGGGTGGACCAAAAGTTAAATACGAGCAGTCAGTGTGATGCGGCGACAAAAAAGACGTAATGCAGTCTTGGGGAGTGTAACGAAATGGCTGCCAGGCAGAGGCAGTACTAGTACCTTAAAATGGCTGCCAGTCTGGTAGTTCTCTGGAGGGGGGAAGTGCGCCATAGGGAACAATGGGGCTGCCATACCTCCCTGCCTAGATTTCCCAGAAGCTTTAGGGGGAAAGTGCGGGAAAGTAGGGACTCACCCCAGGGGTGGAGCCAGCCAGATAAAGGCTTGAA